GCGTCTGATCGGGAATATACGTTAATTTCTTTTATCTTCCTCAACTTAAAACTTTTCATAAAATCGAGCAATCTTCTCCTCCTTATCTTTACCATTACAACCTAACCTTGTCTGTGTATGTTATATTAAAAACAACCAGAATGAATTGTAACTATAAATAGTAAGATCATCTGCCATTATTATCACCATCTGTTAGCCTTTATACCATAAATAATTGAAGGAAGTCTAGATAAAAAGCGGCCAGCAGCTGTTCAAGGTACCACAGATTGCAATGACATAATTGTTGCAAACCATAGATAAACAATGACTCATAGACAACGTAATCAGTTCAATGAAGTTGATACACAATGCTGTACTGTATTGTATTTACTATTTGAAGTAGATATTAGCATTTTGCCTTCCGGTAAAACGAATTAAAATTGATAATTGAGTCGCTAAATTAAAGGGCAAATCTTGAAAATATGTAGATCAATGTAATTTTCTGGTACTTTACGTCTAACGACACCTAGATTTAAAAGAACATCAGCTTATCGGGTCTGAAAAGGACCACTAAAAATTGTAAGTCACGAGGAAATATCCAAAAATCCGCAATTAAACCAACACAGTCTACAAACGGCAACTAATTACTAAATTATTAATATAAATCATGAATGAAGTAGACTCCATAAATACTAAATACCGAAAAATTTCAACAGACAATGGCTCTATTTAGCACATCATTCGATATAAACATGGCTGCCATTATACCTACGTATGTCAGAGCAGCTTAGTAATATGATCCGACAATTTGTTAATTAGCGACCGGCTGGCGTGTTTGCTGACACTCGAGTCCGTAATACTAATCTGCTAAACAAGGCTTAAATTACTTTATAACGACCTAAATATTATAGCATTAAGCTTATTATTCCAGAGAAAATCGGTAAAAATTACCTTCATCATCCATTTACCATCACAAATGGGGGTCAGTAAGGCTGATGCCCGATACGGAGCCGCAGAGAACTTAACGGGTTGTCGGGGCTCCGGCTAAAAGGTGGTGGTTGTGGGTTTCAGTCAGTAAGAGTCGGACACTCCCTCTCGCCTCAGCCAAGGAGGGAGAAGTCGTTGAATGTTTTTTCCCGTCTTAAAGAAGGTCAAGCATTTCTGCTATGGTTATTTTATTGCTTCTAATAAGAGCTACGCATGTCCTGGAGAAACTTCACCTTTTTGTCATCTATCCTTATAATGGCTTCTGATTCACTTTGTTGCCGGAACCAAGACAGTTACTCATGTCCCTGAGACGCGCCGGACTTCGGAGTTCCGGTGTTTTCATGGTTGTATCTACTGTAGATCCTGGCTTACAGGAGTTGGGAGGTTGTGGCGGGCTTGTCCCATGTCCTGGAAAGGAAACAACGCTCACATCTTCAGCCTCTTTCTATCCACTGCTGGACATAGCCTTTCGAATGGCATGCTGATGAACTGAACTAGTCTCAAGGCAGCCAATGCCCTAATAAATAGTCGAACGCAACTATTACAATGAAAATAATATACAAAGCTGCTTGGTATTATAACTTATGTGTTTTATTGCCACTCTAATACTAGGTACTCGTTTACACGTTGCGATATCGATCGTTAACAATATTTTTAGACATAATCTAGAATCTAGATGATGATAACTGCGTAATAATGATTGTTATCTATTAATCGTTACTGTCTGAACAGCTGGACGGCTGTACAACTTTACACTGATTGTCCAGTATAGATATTGTTCATTATGTAAGAAATAATTACTTGCTTAATGATTTAAACACAAGTTAATATAATATGTAGTATCTTACATGAAGTATTTCCTTCACACAATGCATCTGGAATTCGAGTCCCAGAATAATGTTATATTTAAGTTTATCGAGCTTTTTAAAACTTAGTACAAGTATTTTTGATTTGCAAAATTCACTGAAGGGTTGTCTGGGTCCCACCTATTTCATTTGACTAATAACTAGTAAAAGAGGTACCTATTAAAACATCGAGTTAGTCGTAAATCACTTGATATATTGTATGAAAAATCCACAAAACTTGTTCATACAAAAGTGCTATCTAAACATCTAAAATAAGGTCTATAATCGAGTGAGTGGAGACTAAGAGCGGTCACAGATGACTATCAATCTCTATTCTCATTTAGGTGTATACAAATAATAACAACACACAACTGACTCAGGGTCACATGGCATACATATTCCAGACGCTCTAAACAAAGACTAGTCTAGCTAAACTACCCACTAGACAGTGTAAACAAAGTCTAATTAGTTGTCTACTGCGAATGCCTTAGTGACCTATATTCGTTCAGTCGGCCTAACTAACACATCTGGAGATAAAACATGAAATCTCGTTGATAAAGTGATATTTCTACTCAAAGTTAAGATAAATATTACTATAGTCATAGAAATATTTCTCAATTGTATCTTTTGATTTATAATCTGTATGTGAGTTTACGGTATTAGATGTTTCGTATAGTTTGATTTTAGTATCAATAATGTACTTATAAATCCTTCTTTTTTGATGATTATGAAAAATGGATTGGTATATTTTGGGGTTTTTTTTAAATACTCATAAGAAATATCTAAACGTTTGCGATGAATTATGTGATTTTCGGAAAATGATATAGAATTTCATATGATTGGCTTTTAAATAGCTCTATTTACACTTTTTTAAGGAATAATCCATTAAACGAATAAACGAGCGCCGCTCATGGACACCCGAAACTCTAGAGGCGTGCGTTAGTGCGTTATGGGCCTTTTGGAAATTAGGAATTTGAAGATTGTTGAGTATTCAGGGATTGGGGAGATTGGCGAGGAGTAATTCCAGTAACCTCACTCACACGACGAAACACATCGCGTTGTTTCACGTCGGTTTTCTACTCGGCCGTGGTATCACTCCGGTCGAGCCGGCCCATTCGTGCCGAAGCATGACTTTCCCACACTTAAAATAATAAACTAAGTAAAACTGTCTTCTATAGCTTCAAAATATAAAAATAATTTAAACAACAATAAACAGAAAAATCTGGCTCCACCCAATAAGGTATTTGAAACTTCATATCCTCATGTGTGTATGCAAATATCTCAACTGGCATGTGTTCACAGGAAACCGCTTATCAGTGCGTTATCAGTTAATACAATTATGTTCAATTTTACACACGTTACAGGCGGTTGTATCGAGATTCAACAACTGCCTATATGCGTAGTTAGAATTTGTACTATAGTACTCACTAGTAACTTACATATTTATTCTATCCTATGAGAAATTGCATCAATATTATGCAAGTAGTTTTTGAGTACATGGGCAACAAAACTAACATACAACCATTTACAAATTAGACAAGTGGTTAAAGCTAACTTATTGCAGTTGATCTGCTTCGTACACTCATATTTTGTTATGATGCATTTCAATCTTGTTTACTATTAATCTAAACAATAAACATCTGCCTATTATCATTACGGCGATGGAATTCAATTAATTGGCAAGAGGCGGACAAAATCGCAGGTATAATAAACACACCAAATACCAATTAAACAATTCATTTATAAATATACTTTAATTAAATATTTATTGTTATACAAACAGTTATCGATAACAATACTGTATTTATTTACTGTAGTTGTGTTCGTATGTATGTGCGATAGAATTGATTCGTAACGAAGCTAGATTGGCGAGGCGTGTCCATACAATATTTAGTTCGACTCATAAATATGTATGGCTTGTAACATAAGCTGGCGCATCAAACTATTCATAAAAACAATAATAGTGGATGTATGTACAGGATTTGTTGGTTTAAAACCGTATATGAATTTTGCTGTTAATTTCTGAAGCAATGGGTATTCGGTTATGTTCATATCGTCTCTTTTTTGGAATGAACCAATATAAATCAATATGCAGAGATAACCTATTTTTGTTGTATTTCTTTCAGCCCTTTTTCTCGAATTGGGTACTTATTCAATAGTTTTTTCGAACTGTCAAAAACGATAGTTCTCTATGACTTGCATTAGATTGTGTACTGTGACGTCACGTTTTTTAGCATCAATCAGCATACTTATTTCTTAAAAGTTAAAATGCTGGAAAAATACTAAAACTAAGCTGGTCATAACATCAATTAATGAAAGTGTGATATTTTTAAAATATTTTATTGTATTGAACAGCCGAAGTAATTTATTTTTGATTAAGGAAAGTACCCAATTCCAGATCTGGATAAAAAGAATCTGAAAAGTCAGAAATACTAATAATATTCAGCTTAACACAGAAGTTAAACCTATCTTACTTGATAATCAGCTACAGTCCATATATTTGTGTACGTACATTTAGTACCTAACCCGGGAATATTCCGCGATAAAAAAATATATGCTCTGTGCCAACTGGCGACACGTGTGATTAGATAGCATTCAGCTATGATGTGACATGATCTAACATATGACCTTGCGGCTTATTTAAATTGACTGACATATACATACATAATGTAATTTATATTCACCTTTACATAGACATTTTTAAATATTATTTTTGTAATGTAAAGATGGATGGGTAAACTTTACTTTGAGACTTGCTACCTCAATAGAAAAGAGCCCTTCTGTAATACTGTACATAGATAAGTTGAAATACCATTTAGATTTTTACTTATTGGTAGGTAACACTAATGCAATCAATATTGGTAAGTACTTATGGTGTACAGGAAGTTTTAGTCTACAACTTTAATTAATTTTGTATTTTCCCTGACTCTGTAAAAGTATAAGATCTCATGCAAATTTATTCTCGATATAACAACAAATGCAATCCATTTCACAAAATTAAATCACAATTGAATGAACCAATCATGGAATGTGACTAGTTTTTAAAAGTCAGTGTACCCAAAATTCTAAACCTCAAAAACCTACGTTTAAATTGATGACGGTGTCCAAAATACCTATAACTATGCTAGAAGAGGGCGGTGAGATTATGAAAAATATTGGTTTTCTAAAAGTACAATATTTCTATTTCAGAATTACACGCTGCCGCCAAGGAGACGGTGACGCTGGCTGAGCAGCGGTTCGTGAGCAAGCAGGACGAGTGGCAGTTCGACAGCAACTGGCAGGAGGTGCTCAACCATGCCATCATTAAGGTGAGAACATGGCAGATCATAGGACCATTCATAGGTTCCCATTAGCCTGTGAAAAACGAAGGCGCCTGTCAGACTCTTATTGACTTAATATCATTTAGGTGTCCTATTTCGCATGCCCGTCGTTAAATGAAGATCGTAATTTACAAAGATCCTGTATTAAAACGTTATTCCCTAATATTGTAGGTCATGGACGCAGAAAAGCGGAAAGCGGAAAGCGGACGAGAACATCAGAGGAAAGCGGCCGCTTACATCGCAGCTGAGAAAAAGGTAAATTATAAAGACGTATCCATTTTTAAAAGAAATGTATAACTCTAATATATGTAAAGGATTTTCAAGTCAAAGTACTCAAATTAAATATGTATTCCAATCACGCACAACATTAAAATTCTTAACCAAATACCTACCACGAAGTGCTCAAACCGATATATCATCGTAAATATTAATGAGGCACACACATTCTTACAGTCAACCGAACATAACTCTTATACCACATGATAATAACAATCAATTTCCAGGTGACACAATTAGAAGAGAACCTAAAACGGAACATCATTAAGTCACGGGTTTACTTCGAAGAGAAGAAACTGTGCGACGAACAACTGCAGACACAGAATGAGAAGATTGAGAAGTTACAACGACTCATAGCGGACGCCAAGTTCAGATACTCAAAGTCTCTTAAAGCCCTTGAAAAGATATCGGAAGAAATTCACAGAAGACGGGGTGAGTACCCGCCAGACAAGGACTCTATACCCGTCGGTCCTAGAGAGCCCGGTGTCGGCGCAGAAAGAGACGCCATCCATGACGAAGACGCAGCGAAAGCTGAACATGAGAAGGACGAAGATTCTAGTCTCCAAGAACTGAGGATGCGCGTCAGAGAACTCGCTTCCAAACCTATAGAGAAAGACATTGAAACAGACGAAGCGTGGGCTCTGGAACTGAACGAGACCATCAATAAACTCGATCAATTACTGATGATGAAGGAAAATAATCAGCAGAAGAGGTCTAAGTTCACCGCTAGTTCTCCTAGGAACTCTAGCGCGCCCTCCACCAGTACAAATACTGGGAAATACATCGATCCACCGAGCGACAGCTGGAAGACTGAGACTAACCTAACTAGGACCAAATCTATAAGCAAGGATGTGGTCTATGAACACAGTAACCCACCGATCAGCAAGACGGAGAAGTCTAAAAGCATGATGTCTTTAGATGTCCTCGCCTTAGCTAGGGACACGAATATGATGGACAGGGAATCATATCTTAAAGCTGTTATCGAGGACAAATCCCCTACGGGGACGTATACGGAGAGTAATTCCGACAGGAATGATACTCCTGACGAGATCCTGATGGTGGAATGTGACTCCAGCGACTCTAATCAAAATCCTGTCATCAGGATGACCAGCTCCACCGTCTCTGATAGCGATAACAGCTAGATTAATGACATACAATGAATGAAACATAACATTTCTTTGATTGGTTGTGGAATCTAATTTTAAAATGATTTAAAAATGGAATAGAATAGACGGTGCCGTCTTTTTTTTAAAGAAAATGTAACGGAAATATTGTTTGTGAAAAAATGCTTTAATTTTCTTTTTGTTTATTTTAATTGTGATTAATAATTATTTGATTTAATTATGTCTGTGTGTGCTAACAATGCAATGTTTAGTAGCTCGTCAATTTCTTAATGTTAGATGTTTTTCTAATTAATATAGAAAATGTAATAATAAAAATGGTTCAATGATTGTGGTACTGTTTAGTTTAGTAGAAATGCTAGTATTTTTATGTTTTGGAAAATATTGATTACCGTTAATCAAATCATGACTTGCTATTTTATTTGAGATAATTATCGTAAAGAGTCATTATTTAACTCGTCGAGTACCGGTTTTATAGACACAATTAAAGAACAATGGGTCGCGGTCACCGGTGACCGCTTGGTGTTTGACAGTTTAATGCAATGTCATTTTTTGTCAGAAGTAGTTACTTCAGTCAGTGAGTATCCAGTATTATCATTTCTTTTTAACTTAATATTACAGTGGATACAATATATGTAAATTGATAAAAATACTGCGGTTAAACCACGTTTCGTAGATTAAAATATCTTTCGAGTGAGCCAGGATGGTTGATTTCGCAAAATACACCTCATTAGGTACAAATAAAGGTTATTTCTAATTGGATGATATTGATTACCGGATAGTCGAATGAATTACTGTTATTGTTTACTTTACGAAATCGAAAGTTCTAAGGATTAAGTTACAAATATAGGTATTATCGACCATAATAACTCTTAAATGAACCACTAATTTAAATAAAATTAGACTTTATAACAACCCTTATTTACTGCTAATAATCAAATCTGAACTCTATTTTTGTGAACAAACTAATATTATTTTATCAAGAGCAGAAAAATACTGTTTATCTCATGACAAAACCGATAAAGACTATAATCGGATGGCTAATGATTTTCTCATTTTCTTATTGGATTGTTGTAATGTCTAATTTTATTTGAAATCGATTAACTGTAAACGCATTTCTATTTAAGAGCCATACCAGTCCACCGACGTTAGCTCACAAATTATAATTAATTTAATTATAATTTTATTAGAGTAGTGTCGAAAACTACAGTAAAAATATAGTAAATCAATGATATAATATTTACCAAAATAACATTGATTAATATTGAAAAATGAATGAGATAGGATGTGTTATAGAGATGTGCTGTCTCACTTGCACGCGTTTAACCTAATAGTGATGACGTCACAATATTATATTGCATCTCTTTTTCTACACCATTCACGAGATTCAAGTAAATACACTATGTGTTGGTTATTTCAAAATAGGTTGCGAAAACTCTTTATGATTAAAGTTTTAGTGTAAAATTATAGTCAAGTGTTTTACGTTTAATTTTTCATTTAAGTTTGTATAGTGTATGGTTAATAAACCTTCTAACTGTTACATGAAGGTTTATTTTGTAAAGTTACGTGGATAAACTCTTTAATTAATCACTAAGCGTTATTGGAAGTATTACGTACTTAGATAATTTCCGAAATAGTTGAATTATTCAATTGTAGACAACAAATACTCGAAAATGCACACATGCGCAATACCATGAACTATCATAGTTTAATATTCAAAAAATAACAAATAAAATACATTCATCACCTACACGATTATATAAAGCTGTTAATATACCTTTATATTGCAATATAAGATTTAAAATTTTGATAAAACATCACTAAACAATAAGAAGCTAACGCGCATGTGTGCATTAAAATTAAAAATAAATATGTATCAAGGAAAAATAATGATACTTTACAAGAAAACGGTAGCTGGATTTCGCTTAGTGATTTAAAAGTACTTAAATATGTACACGTGAACGTGAATTTAAAGGGGTCCCGCCCATTTTGTATGTGTCGAAATTTTTCTAAACAATTTTTATATTGAAAGGATTAATATTTTTTAGGAATGGTAAGCTCGGAGGGGGTTTGAATAGGTAGGGTAGGGAAAATGTGATGGAGTCTTAATTAATCAAAATAATCGGTACTAACAAGTTAAAAAAATACTTTATATCTAAACTAAGTTGGAGATATTAAAGATTAAATTAAAGAACATGACTTTTGACTATGTCCTAGTGGTCTGCAAGAACTACCATTGTTAACAACGTTCGAAGTTCAGTTCTTAGGTTGTTCTAAATTAATAATCGATTATTAACACTTGTTGTATTGAATTTTCTGTGTACAATGTAGTTTTTGATTAAGGTTGGTTATTGATTTTGGCCGTAAATATCTTCAGCTTTAACAAGATAAACAATATATTCCATTATTTTAACGGCATACTAACAAATAACAATATAAGCGATAATAAATTGCTCAAATAATGAATCTTCAAGCAACGTAAACATAAATAGTGCCTTCATTTCTAATTAATATTTTCAAGCAACCGAAACTGAAGACTGGAATGAGGTTGGTACTTAGACGGTTGTAGAGCTATTATTATTAGTATTTAGGCTGGGTCTAGATATTTATTTACGGCACTGATAAACATATGACACGACTAGTCGAGTCGAATGAATAGTGTATGAGTTTTTATAATAACTATCGTGAGACATACTAAATTAACTAAACACAAGTTTTAGTTAATTTAGTAGATTACTCGCGTGAATATGCTGATCTTATGAGTTCATAAGGAAGAGCCCCTCCGTCACTCGAAACTAATAGAGCTTTTCTCAGTATATTCACGGGAGTAAACCGCGATTTTTAGGTAATTTAGAAATTTTTGAGATTTACATAAAGTCGATTCGCCACCTACGTAGAAATTATGGCTAACCTTATAGAGGAGATCTATAGTCCAGCAGGCACAGCCTTTTGATGGTTGATGATTATGTGAATCTCGTACCTTGACTGTTATATATTATTCGACTAACGCGTACGTTATTTGTCTAACAAGCCAGTAAAAACACAAACACATTACCTAATCTCTAAAATTTTATACATTTTAAACTTTATTGTACTGTAACAAAGTCGAAAATGTATTAAATATTACAGCAGGTTGATGTGTAAACCTACTAAAATGTGGTTTGGGGTTGTTTTAGCATCTATCTAAATATTCTGAACCCAGCTTTATATGATTTTTAATTATACAAGGTGTTGTTTTAAAGCCGCGTCATTTTCTAGGAGGTAACTCGGCTATCGATACTGAGTCCGAATCAATAAAAAAATTGTAGTTACATAGTTTTCATTTTTCTGTACATTACGGAAATCCGTAAGTGCGAACTACACGCCGCCGTCTTGTAACTAGTTTAATAACGCGGCTCAACACACACAAACTCAAACACGTAATTGATATTATTCCTAATTCCATAAAACTCCAATAAGAAACATTGCTGTCGCTTATTCTGATATACTATGGAACTTAAACGATTTATTATATCTGTATTTTTAACTATCCCGAAACTTTCTCTGATATTGAACGTTTATGACTTCTGTGACATGCCCCCGAGAAATGCCACGGTTTTAAAACTACACCTTGTATATTCGAGTCGATGAGGGTTCCGTACATACTCATAAGTTTAAGAATAAATAAAAATATCTTTAAATCTTTGCGTATATTTTTAATTATGGTGATGCATTTATGAAACATCGAGTGAGTTTGTGGCAATGGAGTTTAAAACTATTTAACACTTGCCAAGCTAAATTGATTCTTGTCTACATGAATTTTGAAACTAAAATTGTAATATTAAACCCATTGTCACGTGGTTGTAGGATAAAATTAACGTTTAAGCTGAATTTAGGTTACTTATTTAACATTATTGATAGCACGGTCACAATTATTTTATTAAAACACTGGTAATTTAGTGAAAATACAGAATTTTTAACGAACTTCTTTGAATGATGTGATTTAAAAGCTATTTACGATATTAGTAGCAAGATATCTAGGAGATTGTGAAGTTTCAGAATTATCAATTCCCTTCGTTTCGTATTAGAACTATTTTTTTTAAGATAAGTTGCTAAAAATATCGTTCCTGGCCCAAATTGCAGCTATATCTGCGACACAAAAATATAGTTATCAAATAATCGATTTACAATTTGTACAGATTCTTTGATTTGTATTCAAAAATGAGGAAATATGTTTGGTTAAAATATAAATAATATACTAATATTAATCTCATGTGTTTAGACCTCACAAAAAGCACTTTACGTACTTAATGTGTCGCACTATCGAAACTCTTCACATAGCAAATAGCAATCAAGTTTGTATGTTCGTAAACTTTCAAATCTACGTGTTTTCAATAAAAATTAATGTTGTCAAAATTGGACTTTTATTTTTTTATAAATTTTTCTTACTTGCTTCGGCCTGTGTTTCCGTGGGATAAAAAGTGGCCTATGTGTTAATATAGAGCATTATCTACCCCTGCTCCAAATGTCATCTCGATCCCTTCACCCGTCTTGACGTGAAAGAGTAACAAACACACATACATCCTCACAAACTTGTGCAGTTATAATATTAGTAGGATTCCTTGTCTTCTTTTTTCTTTTCAAAAACGTTGCCCCACACTAGGTTTATCTCCTGTGTTGTGAGTGCGTTTACAAACATACAAGTTCACATACACATGACACCCAGACCCGAAACAACAATTTGTGGATCACACAAAGTGTTGTTCCGTGCGGGAATCGAACTCGCGACACGTTGCACGGCAGCCGGTTGCCCAGCCACCGCACCAATTGTCTATAGTCCTTCGCTCAGGAACAACGATACAAATTATGTGGCTTTTTTTAAGGAGGATAATTATCGAACGACGTCTCCCGAAATTATGTGACTAGATGAGCATTTGATCACATTTAAATTAAAACCTCAATTTTTTATATTTTTTGACTGCCCTTCACACCAGCTTCGTAGTGTGTTGCGGTTGCATCGCCAGTTGTAGTTTTTTAAGGTTGATTTTACAATAACCCGTCTCGACGATGTATAAAGGATTACCTATCGGATTTAAATGATTCGAGACTATCTCCAAATCAGAGCTGTTGGAAAATGTAACAGAAGCTTGATGCCTGAAGTGTGAAGCTTAAGACCGATTACGATGAAGAACTTACAGAAGTCCTAAATGGCCCATCTAGGGGACATTAGACTTTAGCCAGGTAAGTTAAATACATACTCGTTTTTTTTAAATAATCTTGCTCAGCGTTGAAGCGTGCGCGACAGTGCGCATATACCAACAGCATAATCTCTACTCAAGAGACGTATAAACGAATATAATATTACCTTTTTGCTGGAAGTACCTAATATTATTTTTCGGCCTAATAGGGGTAAATTATTTATCATAGACATGTTTATGTTTTCGGCTTACTCACATAATTATTTGACGAGGAACTCGACTAGTTTCAAGCCATGCTAGAGGCTCAAAGCCACAAAAAATATTTTTAGGAATTTTTCAAATAAAATAAAACAAAAATGTATAATATTTACTCCATTTATATTCCACATCTGACAATATCAACGGTCCCATATAAACAATAGCTTACACAATCTACATAACATCACGACGATTATTACAGAAAGGAAGGCACTTCTAGAAGTAAGGTTTGTCTAATTAGTTAAAAATTACCACAGAATTTATTTATTGGCCGATTAGGATTAATCTCTATAGAAATACAATTTTAAAACACGATAGAGGATTTTTTGTAACGAGCTTTTAATCTAAATTAATGGCTTTTATGTAAAATAGCCGAAAATAAACTTAAAATTATACATAAAAGAAATTACAATTACAATTGCACTCTTTATTATTTTCGACACAGCTCGTTAAAACATAACATTCCATTATTATGAGATACTATAACACATTTTTAGATTTTACTATTTATTTACATTTTTGAAATGTTACACAAATATGAGGTATGAAAGTTTATTTAAAATGTTAATTAGAACTACAGATTTGAAGAATAAATGACTTTCATATTATCTACAGACTGTAACAATCTATTATAAATTATGTTAAATACTGCAACATTGGTTAAAGTTAAAAGAATGTTAAAACCCGCGCAAGCGCATTCGCCACCGTGTTTAAAAACCGGCCACTCGAACCCTGTTCGTTAAAAAGTAAAATGTAGATTAAAAATAACAAAAGTGACAGCCAAAATTATTTATAAACAATAAAATGTAATTTGTACTGTAAACTTGACCTTCCAGTAACTGAAAGTTTCAGTAAAATCATGTTAAATCCGAACACATACATAAAACACTATCTATTTCATACCGAGGTCATATAAGTTTATGTTATCGATACAAACAATTTAAATAATAATAAAACACGTGATCTTAAAACTTATCAAAACTAGACTGTAATTCATACGGCTAGGAAACGTACAAATAAATAACATATAGAATTAAAATATACTACATACAAGATAGACTACGAACTAAAACATATCGCCCGAGTTCAAATTCTTCAAAATCTCCATTAAATCACATAATATAAATGTATTTTTAAATGCCTCTTCTTCATTAGCACATAAAATGATACCGTCCACCAAGCCGTATGAACTTAGAACAATAAAAATATTAAAAAATATATCATCATGAACATTTAAAACCCTAAAATAATAAAAACAACATTCGACTATCAAAATATAATTATTACCATAAAATAAATTGTATAAACGCTAGTAGAATGACTGCGATCTCAGATTTATGTAGATAATAATTAATCGACATTATTCTCAGCATAGACCCAACCCCCTTTAAATAATCCAGGGTTTTTGCATTGTGTCAATTCCCGGAATAAACCTTTCTACATTTTGCAGATATTTTGTAGCACACCCAAAACTCGGGAGAAATTATGTCTTTACTTTTAGTTAGTTGGGCTATGCTAAAAATAACACAATGTCTTGTGAAATATAATTACAATATCTATCCTAAAAGCACTGGGCAGTGTTAAAATATTAAAAAATAATATATAATACTATACCAAGGTAACATTGCTTCAAATATACCGTTATCTATAATAAAAATACGTTTTAACAGTGCACAAGGTAGACTTAATAGATAAAATATTATTTTTATAAGGCTTTCTCAAAATTTCTTTGTTTCTAACAACATGATCTCATACTAATACCCGAATACTAAGCTTAACTGTACTCATAGTACATTATTCTAGCTTTTAATCACTCCGGGTATAAACCAAAAATCATGAAAGATACCGATAATAACTAAAGTTATGTGCACTGCAAAACATCTCAAGTTTTAAACAATTTCGACACCCGTAGTGCGTCAAAAATTAAAAATATTCACATGATAATTAAAATGAAATCTGTGTAAGGGAGTCACAATAATTATGTCCCCCGCACTATAGACTACGTCCGTCCTCGATTAGTAACTATATGAATTATATTTGTACGATAAACACAAGCTAAATGCATCGTTATTTCAACATAGTAACATTCCGACCGCATCGTATTATTACTAATACACGAGACGAATCCAAAAAGCAAAATTACATAGAAAATATATTGTGAAGATTGATTAGCATCAATCTATATCCATTATTAGTTGTTTCTCTGTTTCTTCAAAAGTAACTTGATTTATGACAGTTTTTTTGCATAGCCATGCTTCGGCACGAAAGAGCCGGCTTGACCGGAGTGATACCACGGCCGAGCAGAAAACCGACGTGAAACAACGCAAGCGTTGTGTTTCACCGTGTGAGTTAGGTTATCGGAAAGTCAGTTCCCCCTCTTTCCTTGGGGACTTGAAAAACGACTTTCATACAGTTTATATAAAGAAGTAAACACAGCATATAACTAAGTGACTAACATAAAATTAATTCAATGTTTTACACCCCAGTGGAAATGACAACTTCAGTTTTCATGCATTTTCAAAATATTTTAAATAAATTCTCAATTCGGATTCGTCTCAAATGAACTGGTAATAGCTTACAGACATAGATGAGCTAGTTAGTGGCATTATATCTTGGAGCGCGGCAGTGTGACCACCTCGCGCCACCAGGGGGCGCGCTCGAACGCTCCGGGGTGGCTGAAGAACGCCTTCTGTATGTTCTGGTAGAGCTGTAGAAGAGAATTAGATTTTTATTTTGATTTGTGCAATAATTAATTTTCAGGCACTATAAATCATTTCTAAGCCGCCCTTTTTTTCTAAAACCAAACGTACCGTGGATCTCTATTTCCAATTTTTGAGATTTGCGCTAGTAAGGTCTAAAGTCAAATTAGTTCAACCACTTTGTAATAAGTGATAAGTTGAAAGATATTAGCGAATATTTTATTGGCCAAGAAACTGGGGCACACTAGCGCCTTTAGCGGCGCTAAAACCCTCATTCAATGTCAAGTTAACAACTACCTACACTCTATTACAAGTTAACAACTAAATTACATAGTATGTTAGTCTATAGTTGTTAATCCTATTAGGTAAGTCTATAGTAACTAAGATACACCTCCTCCTACTGTTAGGATACTCCTACTCTTCATAGATTACTCCCAAGATATCCAAATAAGTCTCACCTTCCCATCGCTCTTCCCGAGCACAGAGTTGAGCACGAAGTCAGTGGGTGCGAGCGCGTCCACTATGCTGACCACCTCTCCCTTCAGCTCAGCGCATAACTCCAATATCGCGTCACGCAATAACCGTGCTAGTGATTCACCCTGTGATAAAAATAAAAATATGAAAATTATTAAAGAAGATATAATAATCTATACATATAATAAATATAATAATAATATAGCCTTTTATTCAGATCCTTAACTTACATTACGTAACACTTACATTTAAAAGCAACTTAAAGTTAAAAAATTAATCTATTATTTGTTGTTTGGTGATCATTTACAGATCTGTTTGCCAATCGGTAAAGGCCTCCTTCAACCTTTTCCATTCTGTCCTTATTAAAGAAGATATACAATCTCAAATATATTTAGAATTTGATTAAAATCTGCTTCTCTGGGTGAATGATACGACCGAAGAATTAGTTTAGAATAAATTGATTTTGTAATTTTCATATATTAGTTTCGAATTGAACTTATGTGATACTATCACGCTAAGACTTTCGAGTATAATCTCAGTCTATCCCATTTGGAAGCGACAATATATCATATATTCATGTATTAATGCGTACCTGTGAATATCCTCCCTGATACAATTCTACTAAATGCTGGTCCAGAGACCAGAGCCCGTATAGACAGAACAACTTGTGCAGCACTGGCTTCAAACCATCTTCCTTCTTGTCCATAGACTCCAAGAAGAATATTATCGCTAAGTACTCAGCATACGACTTCGTTAGCTCTCTCCATTTGTAAACTTGTGATCTCGCACGGGCTTCGAACTTTGACAGACCTTTGGCTATTTCTGACTCATATTTATCATGTGTCTCCTTCAGAAGCCAACATATAAGCCATCTGTATGTTGATGTTATAACTGTGGAAACGAAAAAACAATAAGATTAGTTTACTAATATCAGAAAATAGTTCAAATTAATTTTGGGCCTAAATCCGTACCTTGTGGTACACCCAACTAAAACTCATATTTAAGATATAGAAATTCAATCTGCACATTCAACATCCCAATTACTTTATTTACAACAATGAAACTTCACTGACATTCCCAATACTACACACATCCTCACCTAACAACACAAGAAATCACTAATTACTCAAATCAAAAGCTTAACTAAGATCACAAAAATACTTACACTCTCTACTTTTGAGCTCATCTGTCGTTCTACACCGGAACCTGACGGCTAGGCATCGCTCCCAATCTTTTAAAAAGGTGACTGTATTGAGTGGAGAGTCGACAGTGCCGCCATTACGCGCCGCGTCAAACTGTCTCAGTAACCAGTTGCCTGTCTGTTGCGATAGCACATTGTTGTCGCCTTCGTATGTCACTGTTGCCTCGTGGTTGCTGCGGATGTCGCCCAGATTTGAGCACTGTGGAGCAGACAGGTTACATTTAACTTTAGAATACAATGTTAATAGCAATTGATTTCGGATCGGTTTTATTTAGATTCTCAATAATACTCATCATCATCTGTTGATGTTATATGCTGTTGCATATAGTACTGGATTTCACTATGGGTTTCCTCTATACAAAAGGGGTTTCCCATTATCTCCACGCTTAGCATTTGGTTGCAGATCATAGTATAATAGATTCAGGTAGAGAGCGCTACTGACCAGCCTATGTAATATGCCTTGGTAGGCTCTTATGCCGCGAGTAAATTTTTGTTTTCATAGCCACTATTATTACCTAGTTTTATATGGTAGACTGCCTCGTTGGCCGAGTGGTCGCAATTGCGACTGCCGGGCAAGGGGTCTCGGGTTCGATTCCCGGGTCGGGCAAAGTATTACTGGGTTTTTTAAAATTCTCAGTGGTAGAATGGAGTCTTGAGCCTTGGCCGATATATGGGAATAGGCCCCTATTACATGGGACTCATAACATAAATAGGAAAAAGTGGGTGTTTCATTGTAATTGTGGTAAGTGCCATAATGTACACCTCTGCCTACCACTTCGGGGATAAAAGGCGTGATGTTATGTTATGTTTTATATGGTATACTTGTTATACTCACTTTAAGGTACCCGTGTCCCCCGCAGGCCTCCCTGCACTGCTGCGCGGCGGCGAGGACTGTCCACGTCAGCAGTGGCTTGCTGCACGATACCATCGCGTGGATCTCTGACACTGCCTCGCTCTGTTACCATTATAATTTTTATTTTTTAGTTTCGATTGATTTATTGACACCGATTATGTATCAAAATAAAATAGCATTTGAGGTAGATTTGTCTTTAGTCCTATTTAACTCGTTGAGTACCGTATTTATAGACACAATTAAAGAACAATAGGTTGCGGTCACCGGTGACCGCTCGGTGTTTGACAGTTTAAGTACAAACTTAAAAAAATAATAATAATGATAAACTTCAACAATAACTATACGATCGTCCTTTTTACTCAATACAATTATTATGATCCTATTGAGCCAAAAATGTGACGTAGCCTTCTTCAATGAGTTAAATTCTGATGTTTTTTCGAAACATTTCAACATTATCCTAAACTATTTTTAATTTAACACTTGTACGAAGTAATTGTTACTCACCAAGTTATCGACTTTGAGGCCGGCGTTGGATTTCTCGACGATGTTTAAGTATACCCTGCTGAAATTCTCTATGTACATCCTGAACACTACTGCGGCTGCTACGTATCCGAACAGACGCCATTGCTATAAAAAAAGCATATATACAGTCGAATTGAGAACCTTCTCCTTTTTTGAAGTCGGTTAAAAATACAAAGAAACAATTAAAAACAACTAAAGTTAGCAAGTTTAAATATAGATTTAGTTTAAAAAAACATGTACTATTAATAACGTTTTGAAAAAAATATTAATAATAACTCCTTTCTCCTGTAAGGCTTCTTAAAAATTTAATTTAAAATATGCTAATTTTCCAGACAAAACTAGCGGTCCATCGGCTATTCTGACAATCTGTATATTTAAATTCAAGATCATTCAAGTTATAAAAAACGATCACCGTTCGAATTATCAAAAAATACAATAGTAAAGCAACTTACATGTAACTCGTACTCGATGAGTGAGATCTCGTTGTCTCTCTCCCCGAACTGCGCACGCGTCGCCGCGTACCGGATCGCTATGGAAACCGCGCTCGCTATCGAGTGGCAGCTCTCCTGCATTATGCCTATACGACCTGAAAGCAAAAAAAAACAAATAGGTATAGGTTTAATTGGGTACTTGCCAACTCAAATTCAATACTATTTCGAATTGTCAAAAACAACAGTTTTTATAAACTTTGTACGAGATTGCGTACCTATTGCGTGTTTTCTTAGCGTCAAAGCATACTTATTTCTTAAAAATTTGCTGGAAAAGTACTAAAATTAAGTTCATCATAAAATCAGTTAATGAAACTGTGATTATTTTTTAAACTGTCAAACACCGAGCGGTCACCGGTGACCGCAACCTATTGTTCTTTAATTGTGTCTATAAATAATTAAATACGGTACTCGACGAGTTAATATTTTATTATATTGAACAGTCGAAATAATTTATTTTTGATTATGGCAAGTACCCAATTATACGATCTCATATTGCCGAAGACAGCCAATGGTAACATGTAGTAAAACCAACTTTTTGTTAATTATAACAAAAGTAAAGTTAGGTTTTAACAAATAACAACTAAAGGGCATGAGGAGCTCATTCATCAGGGTGAAACTCTTGAAACCAATGTCAATACAATTTCAATCCAATAAAATCTCAATAATTATTCTATGTCAAAACTATACAACCCCTATCGTAGCTGTTGAAATAGCATTCAGAGTACGGAATATAAAGCCAAACTCAATACCATATAGTTCATTAAATATCCACGCAATTTTTTTTTTAAGGGGGGAAAATCATCGAATGACTACTCCCGCCTGGGTGAGGCGGGAGGAAGTGTCAGACTCTTACTGACTAAAAACCACCCCGTTCCTACTCCTGCACGTCCCGGTTACCCGTTAGGTTCTCCGCGACAACATGGATGCAATGGGCGCTAGTGTTGCAATTTAAGAGTACGAAATTTCACAATACCAATGTCAATCGATCGGAATTGGATTCAAGATGAACTCATTTCATTATGGTGCGTCCACATCTGGGGGCTTACCCAGATGTGGACGCACCATAATGAAATGAGTTCCAAATACGTGACATTTGAAAATTGACCATAAAACAAGTAACACAAGAACTTAAATAGCTTAACAAACCTGCTGAGAGGTTCTCAAGGGCGGCTCCCAGGATTTTGGAGGGATCTGAGAATGAGGACTCGTAGATACCCTCCTCCGTGACGTCAGCTGTACGGTTGAGGAGGTTCTCCCGGGGTATCCGGTACTGGTTGAACATTATGAAACTGAAACGATAAAAGACGGTTGTAAAATACAGATTACAGAATATTGAGGTTATATTTCTTAACACTTTTCTACCAGTCCTGTCCTGTCCTCCACCTGTATCGGTTGTCTAAAACACCTTGGGTTCGCCTACTGGGTTATGCAAACCATCATTAGGGGTTTCGATTTCCCAACCCACCACGATTGCACATTTCATTTTAGAGGGTGGATCTCAGTAATATAATCTTTTTTTTTTAATTTATTTATAATACGGTAGTTTCCTAAATTTTATTTTAATGTCCGTCTGGTAGATTATTTTAAAACATTAGACACGTATTTTTCTTTTCTCATAAAATACAATACTTTCGCCGATATATTCATTTGAAATATCGTGTAATGTCACAGCGTGCTACATTTTACAGCAAGTAGTGACGTCACAGCGTGCTACATTTTACAGCACGTAGTGACGTAACGACCTCCCACTCCTAAACTTAACGCCATTTTATCTAAGTAATGTACCTTTATACGAGAAAATAAAAAAATACGTGTCTAATATTTTTTCATTATCTAACTGACGGACTAATTAGATTTTTAATTTTCTTAGCCTGGCAAAGTGGCAACTACCCAATTCTGCACTTATAGTACAAGGCGGATTTAGGCATTCTATGCCGGTCTACGTTAGGTAGGATGGTGTGGACATGACATGGTAGGAGCAATCGTGGCCGGTGTTCTCCTAATACTTTTTGAAATTGATACATTTCAGGAACATCACGCATTCAAAAAGTCATATTTTTGCTTTCTACAATAACCTTATATGTTTATACACGTGTTTTTTTCCACATTATCGCGTAATTACAGCGATATCTCACGGTTATTGAATAAATACATTGACTGCTAATTACTGGTAAAAACATAATATACATAATGAGTAATACAGTTATCATTAATGAGACAGTTATTGATAAACAAATCGTACGATTAATTATATATTTCAAGGTGTGAACATTCTCACGTCTCTATTTTGGGAATTTCCGAAATAACAGATTAGAGTTGACTCATTGAGGGCAGTTTTTTTTAAGTAATTTTTTCATGACCCCATTTTTTAATGCTTTATGAATTATCTAATAATTAGGTCATGTTCTAAATAAATAATTTAAGTGTGAGAAAGCCATGCTTCGGCACGAATGGGCCGGCTCGACCGGAGTGATACCACGGCCTCACAGAAAACCGGCGTGAAGCAACGCTTGCGTTGTGTTTCGTCTTGTAAGTGAGGTTTACCCTCCCCTTCCCCAATCTCCCCAAAAAGCCGGTAACGCACTTGTAACGCCTCTGGTGTTCCAGGTGTCCATGGGCGACGCTGATTGCTTACCATCAGGTGATCCGTCTGCTCGTTTACTGGCTTATGCAATAAAAAAATCATAATTTGTTGTTGTTTGTGTTTTTTGTTTACTTAGAAGTGAGAGATAAATAACATTACGTACGTACATCACATATATTATTCCTCGAAAAGATAGGCAGCGGGAATTACAGTCTGATGGCATTTTTATTAATTACAATACTATTCAGTACAACAAATTTCTTCTCTAGAGTAACAAATATGAATTTACATCATTTAAAGAAGACTTTACGCTGCAATAATAATTGAAACAAGCAATGGCGAAACTACAGGGTGGCAAGTTGGCAAAATGCCACGGGCCCCCAGCTAGAAGGGGCCCCGTTCCGGGGTTTTCTCTGTTTTATTGGGAACGGGGCCTATCCGATTTTGCCACGGGCCCCGAACGGTATAGTTACGCCACTGGAAACAAGTGAACTTTTTTTGCAAATAGTGTACAAACTAGCACTTTTACACGTCAATTTAAAAAAGTATCTAAATGAGGTTGACATTTCCTAACTGACTACTCTGAGAAGCAATGCTGAAGAAACAAACTCAGAGGTCCATCTCTTATTTAAGTCCAGACAAATATGTATAGAAAAACGTGTGAGAATCGTGCAAGTTAGCTCTGTAGTAAGAAAAATATAATTGTAAAAAATATATTATTCAATATTTTAAAGTAAATTCTAGTTTAGATACCCATTCATTGAAGGACGCCACAGTCTCACAATTTACATAAGTACTTAAAATCAATAAGAGAACCACTTAATTTATGACTCAAATGCTTCTAGAAGACCTACGTACATACTCGTCATACCTTCAGTAAATGACTAATAGCAAACGTACCTGCATATAATGTTATCAAGTTTACGTAAAATTACTGATAAACAATTATTGTAAAAAATACGTACAAACTGATAATATAACGCACGTAGCTTTAAAATTGCTGCAGCCTTGGGACATTATTTTATGAACGCTACTGTTATAAAACTACTAAGAACGCATGCCTTTGTTTTTGAGGGTGGAAAATCATCCAATGACTTCTCCCGCCTTGGGTTAGGCGAGAGGGAGTGTCAGACTATTACTGACTAAAAACCACCCCGTTCCTACTCCTGCTCTTCGAGCCGGAGCCCCGGTAACCCGTTAGGCATTCCGCGGCTCCGTATTGGGCATCCGCCCTACTGGGCCACATCTGTGGTGGTCTGATGGCTATTTGAGGCGTGCGCGGAACGCGACGCGTCGAAGAACGTAAGCCTAGCTGCCTATTTGTTGATCAAGATTTTCAGTTCTTTTTCATAGTTAAGATAGATTAGTTCGATAACTGGAAAATTATTAAATAATAGAAAATCAGCATTTGTCAAAATACTTTTCTGTGTATATCGATAAATGAATCAGATGATAATAAAATAAAAAGAGTTACATTTAATATACAAGTTTTTTTCTCATCTGAGTAATAAATCAATATGCAGCTATAGGCTTTGCCTCGTCTGTGAACAAATATGTTAGTTGTAAATCGCGGAGAACCTAGCGGGTTACCGGGGCTCCGGCTTGACGTGCAGAAGGAACGGTGTGGTTTTTAGTCAGTAAGAGTCTGACACTCCCTCCCGCCTCACCCAGTCGGGAGCAGTAATTCGATGATTTTCACCCCTTAAAAAAATCATGATTGTGAACCCCTGTGTGGCTTGAAACAAGTTGAGCATCGTCGAATAGTATACGCGAGTGAGCGTTTGAAAACTAAATCACGTCGTGGTAAGCGATGATGCGGCCAAAGATAGAACACGCCTGCCTACAAAAAACCTATGTATAATTTTGTATGTCTCACGCTAGTCTTTATACAAACAGTCATGTAATTATGTAATGACTAAGTGTGTAAACATGGACTTCGGAATGATAACGGAAGAATGACTACTCTGTCTGGTAATAATACCTCAACGTGCCAAAGTCCACAAATTATCATATATCTTAAGTACAAAGTACAATCTTGGTAAAAATAGTTTTTTAAAAGACGTAGGCATAATTTGTTTTGAGATAACTTAAATAATTATTTAAAGATAAACACACGATAGATCATTGCTGGGTTATGAGTCGCAATTTTTTTATATATACATTTTTAATGGGCTGACGTTTGACCACTATCTCGCCTGGTGGTAAGCCATGATGCGATCTACGGTGGAACACGTCGTCCCATAAGTAACCTATACACTCGGGCCTTGAAGACATCCAGGATATACCCTTCAGAAAACACAGACTCTGGCAAAGAATTCCACTCCTTAGCAGTACGCAGAAGCAAGTTACATCATTATTTTTTTGTTTTTATTTTATACATCGAAAGTACTCCTTATGGCAAAGTTGTTTTGAAAACGAAATAGGTATAATATGATTTAAAGTAAAATCCCAATGACGAGTCAAACTCGAAGTTCAATATCGAACTCCTACTCAGAATTCATGTCGCGGAGAACCTAACGGGTAACCGGGGCTCCGGCTCGTCGTGCAGGAGAAGGAACGGGGTGGTTTTTAGTCATTAAGAGTCTGACACTCCCTCCCGCCTCACCCAGGCGGGAGCAGTCATTCGATGATTTCCCCCCTTAAACTGTCAAACACCAAGCGGTCACCGGTGACCGCAACCTATTGTTCTTTAATTGTGTCTATAAATACGGTACTCGACGAGTTAAAAAAAAAAATCAGAATTCATACTCACAAACACAGTATCAACAATGAGTCAACGATTTTCTTGGAGTCAGATTAAGACGCTTTTTCTAATTATTTGCAACAGTTATCATTAAGTTAAACAACTGATAAAAGTTGCTATGCTAGTTCAAATATACAATGAATAGTTTCATAACAATTAAATAATGTAGATTAATATTTCATTAACATCTATTATTCCTCTAGGACTATCCCACCCCGTTGGCATGTGTTCGCAATCGCCTACTGCCGAGTAAAAAGGTTTCGGGGTCAACTCTCGGATCAGACAAAGCATTTTTTTTATGGCATAAGCCGGTAAACGAGCAGACGGATCACCTGATGGTAAGCAATCGGCGTCCAGCAGAATCTGGAACACCAGAGGCGTTACAAGTGCGTTACCGGCCTTTTGGGGATTAGGAGTTTGAGGATCGTTGGGATTCAGGAATTGGGGAGATTGGAGAAGGGAAGGGTAATTGGGCCTCAGGTAACCTCACTCACACGACGAAACACAACGCAAGCTTTGTTTCACGTCGGTTTTCTGTGAGGCCGTGGTATCACTCCGGTCAAGCCGGCCCGTTCATGCCGAAGCATGGCTCTCCCACACTTATTTGGTATATTTCGGTTTCTCAAAAATTCTTAGCACTAATAAGTAAGACTCATAACTGGTGAAAAGTTACAATGAACATGTTATGTTACCTATGCCCCCACCGTTATGTTTAACCTGTGCACACGCATATCAATGCAAACATGATCTATGTCTCGTAAGTTTGTGAGTATGAATGGGTGTTTAATCTTTTATCTTCATATCCATGGATTTATGTCCATTAGATATGAGTAAAGCTGTCAACACAAATAAACTCGAAAAGATACCGTCTGATGTAGATAGTGGTGATAATCTTAGATGTTATCCGATTGTTAGAAGTGTGAGTAACTGGTAAAGATAGAACTGTATAGAAGGAATTTGTGTGTCTGTGTTTAGATGTAGGTAGAGTAATATGTTAGCGGTGGACCTCTTGTGACTATTATGATAAAAAGCTGATACATATTTTTTATGGGATAAGCACCGGCTTACCTTCGTCCGTCTACTCGGTAAAAGAGTAGACGGATCACCTGATGGTAAGCAATTCACGCCTCCCATGGACAGCAGGAATACCAGAGGCGTTAAATATCTTATTGGCCTTTTAGGGATTAGGCATTTGAGGATTGTTAGGGATGCGGGGGTTGGGGAAACTCACACAACGATACAACGCAAGCGTTGTTTCACGTCAAATTTCTGTGAGGCCGTGGTATCACTCCGGTCGAGCCAGACCATTCGTGCCGAAGCATGGCTCACTCACACTTAAAATGTCTTTTTCCATAAATGTGTTATAGTCGCCGGTACACTTTAATTTAGTTAGGCAAGCCATATGTCGCACCTGAATTATTTTATCAAACTCTACGGAATACGGAAAGTTATTTTTAACCCGTCGTGTGCCGGAACGTAGCTGTACGCGAGACACAATGCATTTTTTAATGTGTCTTATATACCGGTAGTCAAGAGGTTAATAGAACAACGAGGTCCTAAACCCTAATCTATGTCAACGATCACCTTATAACATGACATCTAATAATCCCTCATTTTTAACAAATAACCAGCGCAATCATAATATTATTATGTTAATATGAAGAATGTCGCTCTAAATGATTCAATCGCATTCCGTTTAACAGCTTGAAGAGGCAGGAAGCTACATACGGGCTACACGCAATGGACCCTTAGCAACAATTGTCTCCGAAGTGACGACACAGACCGAACGACGCTTATTCTAATAGGAGATATGCATGAGTAATACTAGTACGAGGAATCGTGAGTTGTATGAAGATAGATATCGTGTGTAACTGTGTATTATGTGACTACAAACTATATTCTAAATACGTTTTTAGTATAGCTTATTAGCACGTGTTAATACTACAGAGTACACAGCTCATGATTATGGACTCCAGTTGTGATTGAATATAGTTGAGCATCCTCGAAATTAGTTGAGATTATCCGCATGAAGATTATCTAATTAAACTTACCCATTATCAATTCCATTGACGCCAATCTTCTCGCCCATGTCTCCTACAATGAGACCAGGATATGTCTCCAGAGTTTCAGGGTTGCGGATGGGTACCAGGAACCCATGTAGACCGTGGTTGGTGCCGTCTGGTGTGATCAGCTGAGCGAACAGCAATGTGTGTGTGCATGTTCTACCTGGGTAAAATAAAAATATTGATGGCTTAGTAGCTTTGCATAACATAACATCACGCCTTTTATTCCCGAAGGGGTAGGCAGAGGTGCACATTATGCCACTGTACAATGTAACACCCACTTTTCACTATTTATGTTATGAGTCACATGTAACCCCACTCACATCTGGAGCCCGGTATCCGTATACCGGGCACAATAAATGTTATTTAGATGGATGCAGTCATTTTAGTTGATGAAAAGGAGGAAAATCCCGAAAATAAATAAACGTACTAAACTAAATTAAATTATTCATTTACAAATTAAACATTACTCATTTTGAAATGCAAATCAGGTCATTTGGTTAACAAATGCATTCAAAATAATTTAAATTAACATCGTTTTTCCTAATTAGTTTAGTTAATTGTTTAAAACATAATTCAGTGGGTAATTTGACGTCAACAGAAATAATATTTAAATATTATTTTTTAATTTTTACACTGCACGGTTAGCGCTGTGGTTATGATTGGGTAATCGACATGCGCAACCTAATTTCCATTTTTGTATCCATGGATCAACTCTTTGTGATCCAATAATTGTTGTCTATCTACAATCAGTTAGCGCAATAGCTTGCCTGTTGTCTACGATGTAAAGTATCCCAGGTTCTGAAACGATCCGTAACAATTCCTTGTAATCTAAAAATTGTCGTTTTCTAAGACATTTGTTTTTTAAACGCACACATACTAGTTCTTGATTAGATTAACGTGAAATAAAAATGTAAAAAAGTACGCGCACACAGGCAAACAGCTAAAATAATTTAACCGATTATAAACTTTATTGCAAACAAATTAGGGTAGTTTGACGTAAAAAGATGGTAGCAGTACTAATCAATAAACGGCTCAATTAACCGAAATAAGAATAACAAGACATTATACTGAATTTGATGCCTTAATTCATATAATTAAAGGTCTAAGTCCTTTGAAGGTCAATTTTGGGACCCTCTTTTTTAATACTCGAATGTGAAATTCTACTCCATTTGAACCGAGAGGTGGATGACCGATTGTAAAATTTTATATTCACTTATTTTTTTACTTATAATGACAAATGAACTGACGTCAGAGAAAAAGCCAGGCTCAGGTTTTAATGACTTTTGGAACCTTAGTATATTCAATTGCAAAATATTCATTTGATGTTATTTTTGGCATCATAATTGTGTGTTGCAAAAGGTATATTTTTTGCAAAATATAAATTACATGTGAAAGAGGTATCCACTGGGCAGTACCATAAATATACAGCATTCCCACATAGGACATAATTAAATTACCAAAATTGAAAATCGACAAAGAAAACTTCAATTTAGGAGTTGTCTTTATCACTAAAATAATGAAGTTCAACCTTGTAAATAGTTTACTATCGTTACAAAACAATATTCGCAATAAAAACCTCAATTTCTCTTAAAATAATCATTAACTTTACTTTATCAGTGCACAAAATAACGGCCACATCCGATACATACAAATAACAATAAAAATCAAAACAGGTTAGACTGTGAATCATAGATAATTTATTGATTAAATTGACTGATTAAATTCTTCACTCATTACGAGTATGTAATTAAGTATATAACAATGTGTAATTGAGTCGGCTTTATGATGTAATACCATCTGTACTTTACTTACATAGCATAGAATAATGACGAAAAGATTGTGAGCATCTAAGGCCTATCCTCACCTATCCTGAGATCCCCAATCCCAAAATATCAATCGAAGCATTTATAGGTAATAGTTACAATCCTGTCTCGTCACAATATTTCCAAAGCTTAGAGAAATAGTAGTTTATTATCTCCTCTTACTCTTAGCGTGGGCCCCGATGCGAAATTTCATCAAAACCAGTACAGCAGTTCCCTAGATTATTCTTATACTACACTAGCTACTTCCGCGCGGTTTCACACGCTCTGCTCAGCTCCTATTGGTCGTAGCGCGATGTTTTATAAACTATAGCTATCTTCGATAAATCCGCTATCCAACACAAAAAGTATTATTCAAATCAGACTTGTAGTTACGGAGATTAGCGCGTTCAAACAAACAAACAAAAGAACAAACTCTTCCGCTTTGTATAATAGTATATAAGAGTATAAGATTTACCGTGATTAGCATGATATTGCGAGCGAGATATGAGCATGAGTTTCATTGATCCTACTAACATTATAAGTGGGAGCCTACCGAGTAGCGACCTCCTACTAATATTGTTAATTATTTCTAATTGTACGCAGAACATGGTGTTTAAATTGATGCTGTTGTATTTGTGGCGTTGGTTTAATGTTTGTATGACTATTATGTATTAAGTTCTGGTTTCGATGCCTGTTCCGTCTTTCAGACGTTCAACATTGATTTGTTTTGTTAATATCTTGGATTTAGATTAACCTTGTGTAGTGCACTGTGTTATCAATTTTTGATAAACCAACTTAACTTACTAACATTATAGTTTATTTTTTATTTTGATTCGGAGTGATTATTGAATGAAAGAAAGAAAGAAAGATCATTTATTTATTGGAAGTTGTAACTTAATTTATCCTGTTTTAATTTGGAATAATTAGTAAACGTTGTGATTCGATTGTTTGTTCTAACTTAGAATCACTTTTGGAAATTCTGGTTTAGTGTTGGTAAAATATTTGCATGCCGAATTTATAGGCGGGATATGATGAACGTTTGTTATGCTATAAAATCTGTAAACCACCATATTTCAGGCAAATAAATGAATCTTAGCTATCTGTCAAATGGACAACAGATTTTATTTACACTATTTTTTTATGGGATAAGCCGGTAAAAGAGCAGACGTAATACTTGCTGGTAAGCAATCGGCGTCGCTCATGGACACCCGAAACCCGAAACCCGTGCGCTACTGGCTTTTTGGGGATTAGGAATTTGAGGATTATCGGGGATTCAGGGATTGGAGAGGGAGTGGTAATTGGGCCTCCGGTAACCTCACTCACACGACGAAACACAACAAAAGCGTTGTTTCACGTCGGTTTTCTGCTCGGCCGTGGTATCACTCCGGTCGAGCCGGCCCATTAGTGCCGAAGCATGGCTCTCCCATATTTAACACCCAACAAACTTCAAGGGAAAAACAAACTTTACGCACTTGTGAGATACAATTTTGCTTACTACAAAAAAACAATACATAGCCCGACCCAGAAACCAAATTCAAGATCAGTTCCCAATGAATCAACTACAAAACGAGGTAGTTTTAACCGCGAGACGTCTAAACAAATGTAAGATGACCTTGAACATCAACAAACTAGGTTAACATCAGTTTTTTTTATAAATAGCTCGGATAGTTTTTATGGTCGACAAAGTAAATTACCGCCCACTATACAGCTTACACAAATACATTGAACATTACGTCATTTGTTTATTTATTTTATGTCTATATGACTGCCTCGTTCGCCTAGTTAGCCTAGTGGTCGCAAGTGCGACTGCCCGGGCAAGGGGTCTCAGGTTCGATTAAAGGTCGGGCAAAGTATAACTTTTTATTTTTAATTCTCACTAGTAGCACGGAGTCTGGAATTGTGCCCGGTATATGGCAATAGGCTCACTCATTATTACATGGGACTCATAACATAAATAGTGAAAGTGGGTGTTACATTGTAGTGGCATAATGTGCACCTCGTGGCACAATACAATAATAAAAGGTAAAGGCCACCTTGTAGTGGCATAATAAAAGGCGTGATGTTATGTTATGTCTATAAATGAATATTATACTTTATATTGTACAAACAAAGTTGCGCTTTGCCATTGGAGAGCGTAATATGTCCAGCAATGGACGAGAACAGGCTATTTATGATGATGATGCAAGTTACGCTTTTAAAAATTTAGCTTCTACCGGATTCGCTCTCGTTCCCGTTGAATAAAAAGTAGCGTACTTGTTAATCCATAATATATCCCTGTTCCGAGGGCCTACGGACAGCGAGCATGGATGGCTCGCCGCCCGACCAGAACCAGACCCGAGCGTATGGCGCGTCGATGGGGCCCAATAGGGCTTATGCTGATATGGAGCCACGAAAGACTTAAAGTGTTGCCGGGGCTCCGGTTCGAAGGGCAGGAGTAAGAACGGGGTGGTTTTTAGTCAGTAAGAGTCTGACACTCCCTCCCGCCTCACCCAGGCGGGAGCAGTCATTCGATGATTCTAGCCCCTTAAAAAATCCCTGTTCCAAATTTCATTTTAATCCTTTCAGTCGTTTTGACTTAACTGAGTAACCAACATACAAACAAACTCACATAGGTACTGTCACATAATAGTAGTAAAAATTGATCCCAATTTAGATTTCCATTTCTGTACATATTTTGGGTTATTTTTCTTAAGCCTTTGACTGCCGACAGAAAACTGTTGAAGGCAAATCCTCCGCTTACGTATGTCACCGGTGACCTAAGCGGCGGTTAACATGTTAAGAATCCTTACTAATATTATAAATCGGAAAGTGAGTTTGTTTGTTTGTTTGTTCCACTTTCCCGCCGTAACTATTAAACCGATTGCTTTGATTTTTGCAGACGTGAAGTTAGAAGTCTGGATTAAATAATAGGGTACTTTTTATCCTGGAAAAATTTGATATTCTTGGGAGGAGGGAAAACTAAACTAAAAAAGCTAGTCTCCTATATTCCTAAAATTTGGTTTCTACAAATAGCTGTACAATGTAATTCAGTTGCTTAGTAACACGAGAGTATTAAATAAAATTGATTAATGATTTTCCATTTTGATATCTTCTAAAATTCTAGAAGTTTTAACCTTGAATTTAAAGATAAAAAATCTAATTGGCAAATTGGTCCGGTCGATGTAGAGATCTGCTTAGTAACATATTTCGCAATATTTTTTTGTTTAAACATATTCATTCACAGGTGTACCGCTGAAAGGTATTTAAAGGGCCATTTGTGAGTCATACAAGCTATAGTGCTTTGTACACGGATAAAAATTTCTTGTTTCCATGCTCTCTTAAAAATTCTTCCCTATATACTACCTACAAAGGACTTAAATGCCCAATATTTCAATTGGGATGATGACAGGGTATGAAAATTAAAAATATAATTAGTCCGTAAGTTAGCTAATGAAAAAATTTAGACACGTATTTTTTTATTTTATCGTATTGTAAAACAATACTTAGATAAAACGGATCAAAGTTTAGGAGTGGGGGCTAAAACGTCATATCTTAGTATAAAATGTACTGAGAAGTGACGTCACGCGACATTTCAAATCAATATATCGTCGAAAGTATTCGTTTCTGTAAGAAAATAAAAAATACGTGTGTAATGATTTAAAATAATCTACCAGACGGACATTAAAATAAAAATTAGGCATCTACCCTATTATCAATATCATTTGTCTAGTTAAAAACTTACAAATTAGTCAAAAACCCGCAAATCATCCTTTTTTGATCGAAATTTTTTAAGTTATCTTCAGAGACCTATTCCACAAACGTCAAAAATTGTATTCCATATAAATATAGTCACACAAAATTTTACCTAGATTACCAACCCAGCATTTAGCCGCTTCGAAGTCAGGCGTGTGAATGACGAACTGCTTGTGTTCCGGGTCGTACGTCGCCGTCGTGCGCATCAGGCGCGCGTCCGAACCGTGCGCGATCTCCGTTAGCGCGAAACTTGCTAAAGTCTGTTGAAAAGAACAGATAATTAAATTAATAGGGATGATGAGGATGATGCTGGTGATGACAGGGTATGATAATTAAAAATCTAATTAGTCCGTCAGTTAGGTAATGAAAAAGTTTTAGACCCGTATTTTTATACCTCTATTTTGTCGTATAAGAAAACAATACTTAGATAAACGAATCAAAGTTTAGGAGTGGGAGCTAAAACGTCATTTCTAAGTATAAAATGTACATAGAAGTGACGTCACGCGATATTTCAAATCAATATATGTTCGAAACTATTCGTCACCGTAAGAAAAAAAAAACCTGTCTAATGTTATTAAATTATTTACCAGATGGACATTAAAATAAAATTTTGTCATCTACCCTATTTTCCATTTATGGCTTTCTAGCGTTAAGCTGTTTAACAAGGTCACTCAACTAGTTTCAAGCCATGTTGGGGCTTATAGTCATGGAACATTGCGCGAGAAATGACACAACGAGCGTCGCGCAGTCAATTTCTTGCGGCGTATCTTGAAAATAGCATAGTTTCCTTTTCGTGAGTTCCGTGGGTAAGCAGTAGGTAACCCATAAGAAAGGGTAGACGTAGTCTGGTTATTATGAACTAATTGGATAGTTTAAGTATAAGCCTGCAAGGTGAATAGTAATGCTATAATAGGTTATTATGGTACCTCTTTGGTGCTAGGTACACACTGGTACCTGTGCTAAGCATACGTAGATACTAGTAAGTAGCGAATCTGGTAAACGACCATGAAGATTTTATTCACTTTATACTTTTTTGAAATTGAATTTATTCACTTACAAATACATGCATTTAACTTATTTTTCAGCACCGCCAAACTGCTCAACGGTTTTACGGCAGGTACATATCACTGTAAGTACATTGAATATCGTATTCTTTTAGTCTTTAATTGTTACTTAATAAAATCTCAGTAAAATAAATCTGACAGTATAATACTCAAATTAGGGTACCAACTCCAAAGAGTTGAACTATAGACAGAGACTACTCATCCTCTTCAGGGATATCGGTATTTTTTTTAAGGGGGAAAATCATCGAATGACTGCTCCCGCCTGGGTGAGGCGGGAGGGAGTGTCAGACTCTTACGGACTAAAAACCACCCCGTTCCTTCTCCTGCACGTCGAGCCGAAGTCCCGGTAACCCGTTAGGTTCTCCGCGGGGATATCGGTATAAGGTTTTTCTGCATACATTTATTTAAAAGAAATGTAAATGTTGATTCATTTTATTTGCGGGATTATAAACTTTCGTGAACAATGACCGTGGACTAGTTACAGCAATTAGAGTCAGGGTTACTGCCCGAAACTGCGCTAGATAGGCAGTGTATCAATATTTAGCCATTATTTCTCGAATAACCGATATTTTCAAGTGATCGGTTTATTTATTTTGCTAGCTATAGAAGTTCTCGAGACTGTCACGTTAGCCAAGTGGGCGAAAATCTAAAGGCCGAGTACAAGGTCGCGGGTACGATCGTAAAGGCAGGCAATGTGTTTACTCGTTGCATAGCGTTTAGGTTCAGTGATATATACGAAATCAACATCAACAATCCTGAGACTGTTCGAATCGTTTTTTCTTTTCCTTATTAACATCTTCTGATTTATTTCTTTGCGGGTTCTACGCCAGTCATTCATGTCACTGGAACGCGCGCGACTTCAGTGGTCCGGTGTTTTCATGGTTGTATCTACTGTAGATCTTAGTTTACAGGAGTAGTAGCGGTTTTGGGAGGTTAAGGCTGGGTTGTCCCACAAAAAATCCTGAGACTGTTAACTGGACTATAGGCCAGGAGCCTTCTCCGCATAAAAGGATTTGCCCGAATCTTCACGCTGCCATGTATTTAAAAATAATATATTAAGTAGTTAGAACAAAAACACAAAGCAGATAAGGCAACAATGTTTCACCGCATAACTGAATATTACAGCACATATATAACATCTGTTATCTCTGAATGTTACGCTAAAAATGTCAATGTTATGTCACTTCCGAGGTCATCATTCTAGAACATAAAGTTCGGATAGCAACCGTCACGGTCAATCATTTGATTAGAGGACAATAACTTAGACTCTTATCATAGTGGAACGCCAGTATCTCTCAATATGAGTATGTAGTATGTAGACTAAGGTGTAAAAACTATTCCAGCCAGGGTTGCGGGTCGCGGGCAGTGCTTAAGAACTTAGGCCCTGGCATGGAGCAAGAGTAGATCATTTGACTTCTTAACTCTCTTCCAAAAAGTCCAAAAACTGTTACCTATTTGCCGCAAGGAAGCGACAGGAGAATACATATACGGATGCCTAATTCACCCCCCCCCCTCCCTTTCCCCAATCCCTGAATCCCCAACAATCCTCAAATTCCTAATCCCAAAAGGTCGGTAACGCACTTGTAACGCCTCTGGTGTTCCAAGTGTCCATGGCCGACGCCGATTGCTTACCATCAGGTGATCCGTCTGCTCGTTTACCAGCTTATCCCATAAAAAAGAAATACATTTGTCACGAGCTCTTATTCCTCGGATGTTCGTAGACCGGAGCGGCGCTGTCTTAAGCCTGAAGTTATAAACAGCGAACCAACCTACCAACCAAAGCCAAGCTAACCTGAAGCCAACCTGCCTAACTTTAAAATTATGGGAACATGTGTGTACAATATTGGAATATGTATCAGAGCAATGTAAAACAGTCTCTTTTTTAAAAGAGTAACGAATGGAGTTTCTTGCTCGTTCTTCTCCACTCGAATCGACATTTTGGAACGAGCGCCTAGCTTCACTGACGGACAGACTGACAGACTATTATTTATTTCATGTTTGTTGACGTTTCAAAGTACCAAATTATGGTTTAATTGAAATAAATGCTTTTGAGTTTGAGTTTGAAAATCCTTTATGCTATGTAGCCCCCATGATCCGATAATGGACAGCCACGAACTGTTGATGATGATAAAGAGTAGCTTGATGAGCTGATATCTGTACTAATTACATTATTGTAATGTCCTTACCTCTCGATTAACAAAGGTAGCTTCGTAGAACTTGTGGTGCCGCTCAGTGCCGAGGGATAGCAAGGCATTTGAAAACAAATATATGCCGATCGCCATCTTGACTGAGACGCTGGGGTTGAGAGACTGCACCGCCTCGTTTATTGTCATTATTGTGCGTGTCTGTGGGCAAAAGGAATCAGTTTAATCTTCTCTATAATATAAAAACCGACGTGAAGCAACGCTTGCGTTGTGTTTCATCGTGTGAGTGAGGTTACCGGAGGCCCAATTACCCTCCCCATCCTCAATCTCTCAAATCCCTGAATCCCGAAAGATCCTCAAACTCCTAACCCCCAAAAGGCCGGTAACGCACTTGTAACGCCTCTGGTGTTCCAGATGTCCATGGGCGACGCCGATTGCTTACCATCAGGTGATCCGTCTGCTCGTTTACCGGTTTATGCCATAAAAAATCGCTAAATGTGTTACTTAGCGCGTATCTCGAGAACAGCTAAATCGATTTCGCTGATTCTTTCTTTGTTGAGTTTGTTGTGGTTAAGGGAAGGATCTGATGTAAGAAAAAAATAGCATATACCGAGGGGTTCACTAGTTTTAGAGCTAGCTAGGGAGTCAGTGTTTGAAGGTCTCTTCAGACAGGTCAGAAGTAATTCGGGGAAGCCTTTGTTCTGACTGAACAAAGGCTTCCCCGAATGATGATAGGCCCCAAGGCACAATATGATGATAATAAAAATGAGAATTCAAAAGTAGCTTTCTTATCTTTTAATGGATTTCAGAGAATACGAGAGACCAAGTAATAAAAAAAAAATCTTTTTTTTAATTCTATCCTTGACTTGAACTTCCTGAAAAATTGAGTAACGAACCTATGACGAAAATTAATTGAAAATAATAGAAAAACGTGACATTTAAGTTAAATTACGATCATTAACCTTTTAACCTTAACTATTAAATTACCGTCGTTTGCTTTAAGTAAATAATAACAGTATTTATTATGTATAATTTTAAAAAAAGTACGGCCTATCTAAACCACTACTATTTTATGTGAAAATAAATTTATTATTATTATAAACATGTATCTTCGCATATTGTCTTCATTTATTTAGAACGATAATTTATGACTGTATTTTTTTTTATATATGTTTAATATTTAATACTACTAGGTATATGCGTGTTACTCATTATGTTTTGCGCACTTTAGGTATGTACATTATAATATCTACTAAATATGTTAAAGAGTAAATATAATATACGAACATACTTAAATGATTTTCGAGTCCTTGGGAGATAAATCTATGAGTAAGTCAATTCAAAGTCAGTCAAAAGAAAATTAATTATAAAATGTGACTTTTTGTTTTTAAATGCATGACGTCAAAGAATGATATGTCGCATAAAATTATACCTCAATTATAATTCTTTTACGTATGGAAATAATAATCGTATGAAAATAAATAAACACTAACGAATAATTAAAAAATTGTAAGTATTATATAAATGCATTTTTTTTCTTGTATTTTCATGATGATGGTGGTTAGAATTAGAATAGTATTTTAGAGAATAGTGTCTAAAGTTCCCTAAGATCGAAAAAGGAGGATCCGACCAATCCGGCAAGGTGTTCGTGCCTGGCGGGCTTTCTGCCCAGCAGTTGTTCGATGGGATTTTCTGTCCGTACGTAGTAAAGTCCAGATCTTAAAGCATAGTCTCGACATACGCAATGTTAGATAATAGCTATAATTGATCTTTTTTTAAGGGGGGAAAATCATCGAATGACTTCTCCCGTCTGAGTGAGGTGGGAGGGAGTGTCAGACTCTTACTGACTAAAAACCACCCCGTTCCTTCTCCTGCACGTCGAGCCGGAGCCCCGGTTACCCGTTAGGTTCTCCGCGACAGCTATACTTGATCTTGGATCTTATATATCTTTACTCACCCTTCGACTATAACTAGAGTTGACCATTTCTTTAGTGTGGAATTTGTACTCGTTTATTTTCTTGAGCTGCAGTTGAGTGATACGTTTCTGTTCCTCGACTGACGGGCTCACCGTGTTGTGTGCGAACAGCGGATCCTTCTCCAGCGTCTGCCATATTTTGTACTGAAACAATAGAAATAAAATTGAAATAAACAATCTCAGAAAGAAGTAAGGATCCTAGGTACAATTGTGATTACGGAGCCGCGGAAGACTTAAAGGGTTGCCGCGGCTCCGGCTCGAAGTGCAGGAGTAGGAACGGGGTAGTTTTTAGTCAGTTAGAGTCTGACACTCCCTCTCGCCTCACCCGGGAGAAGTCATTTGATGACTATCGCGCCTCAAAAAAAAAGATACAATTGGTATGATGACAGGGTATGAAAATTAAAAATATAATTAGCCAGTAAGTTAGGTAATGAAAAAATATTAGACACGTATTCTCTTATTTTGTCGTATAATAAAACCACAGAACATATAAAGATATGTTCTATGAATAAAACAATACTTAGATAAAACGAATCAAAGTTTAGGAGTGGGGGCTAAAACGTCATTTCTACGTATAAAATGTACATAGAAGTGACGTCACGCGACATTTCAAATCAATATATCGTCGAAAGTATTCGTTTCTGTAAGAAAATAAAAAATACGTGTCTAATGATTTAAATTAATCTACCAGACGGACATTAAAATAAAAATTAGGTATCTACCCTATTACATTTCCAAATCAACCTGTTTAGTATTGACAGGATTCAGAAGTGCTGACTGAGATTGTTGAACAAAAACAAGCATTAGAAGTTCTTTTTTTATACTTTGGCATTAGAAGTTAATTTTAGGCAATATTATTGGCCGTTGCCTTAGGATACTCAAGATATCGCTGCAATGCTTGGAATAGATGCTAGACAAATATAATTCACACAGACAGAGCACGCACTAAAATGCTAATTATGAACATCCTTACTTCCTTACTAATATTATAAATAGGAAAGTGAGTTTGTTTGTTTGTTTGTTCCGCTTTCGCGCCGTAACTACTAAACCGATTGCTTTGAATTTTTGCAGACGTAAAGTTAGAAGTCCGGATTAAATAATAGGGTACTTTTTATCCCGGAAAGCTTTGATATTCCCGAGGTAAAAAAAATATTTTGGTATAGATGGCGCTGTGTGTATTGGTATATATATGTCACATAGGCTACTTTTTATCCTTTTGTGACGCGAGCGAAGCCGCGGGTAAAAGCTAGTTATCTATATTATAAAAATATTTTTCAAGTAAGCTTTAGTACCTAGTAACAAGAGGGAATACCCTGTGTTGTAACTTGTAATAATATGTAGGTAAATCATATATCATTTATGTAGTGAGTAATGAGTAATCGTAGTATTTATAAATAGCGCTCCAGATAATGGGAATTACCTACCACCTTTAAGAAACATAACTTCGCCTTAATTATTCTTTTTTCACCTTTTTATTCCTGAAGGGGTTTTTTTTAAGGGAGTAAAATCATCGAATGACTGCTCCCGCCTGGGTGAGGCGGGAGGGAGTGTCAGACTCTTACTGACTAAAAACCACCCCGTTCCTTCTCTTGCACGTTGAGCCGGAGCCCCAGTAACCCGTTAGGTTCTCCGCGACATTCCTGAAGTAGTCAGAGGTGCACATTGCGGCACTTAATGTCACTGTACAGCCTATTGATAGGTATATATCGGACACAATTCGAGACTCCGTGCTACTACTGAGATTTTTCTTTAAAACAGTTGACCTTAGTTTACCTTTAAGAAAACAATTCAAATACCCAAACTATTGTAACTATACATGTTGCGAAAATATTTTTGTTAAGCAGATAAATGCTTAGAAAACATCACGGTGTTTATTCCTAAGACCCTAGTCATAGGACATCGGAGAATTTAATAAGTCCCATAAATTCAGAGGTCAAATTTATGACGGGATTTTACTCTTAAGAAACTACTACAAAAACTCTGTGACATTGAAATTGAAACAAATCAAATTATAGCTCAACAATCGAAATTAAAATTACCTATCTTTTTTACTATTTGAATGTATATTTTATTTTTATTTATCGTATCTGTATCGTGTCTGGTGCTAAATCAATGTATTTTTTTCTTTTTATAATTTAAATAAAAACAATTTAAAATTCGAACGATGCTAAAACACAATACCCAATAAACAAAACATAAATGGACTGCGTTATCGTAATACTTTGGCATTACGCAACGTTTAATATCAAGATGACGAATAATGCGTGGCTGTTATCTGGTAAATAACATAATAATGCACAAACTAAAACTATATAGATAAATGTATTGTAAAAATCGATTATCGGATTATAAAGTCGAAGTAAAGGCCGTTTGTAATGATAACACAGGTAAGTACAAAGTTAATACTCAGAGGTAATAGGCTTATATTTTCCCAGCGAATGGCTAAAAGAAGTGCCTGAAATGTGGTGATAATTTATTAACTTACTAATGTCGGAATACTGAAACGCTACTCAATTTTAAATCGTGCTTAAGTATAGTTCTATCTCTACTAATTCTTTGTAAAATGACAGAGATGGCACGATATTTGAGCACGACTTAAAATTGAGTAACGTTTTAGTATTCCGACATTAGTGGGCTAAATTCAGTTTTTTCGTTTCGTGATTTTTAAAGGGCATTCCTTAACAAGGACGCGACTAGGCGAACTTCCTACTTTTGCAAAGCACAGAACGGTAGAACTAAGGTAGCATATTCGCTTGAACCCGAACTCCACCACCGCGTTTGTACTTGGAAATTACATTTTAGTTAATATAAAATATTCGTTAGCATATTTTTTTTATGGCATAAGCCGGTAAACGAGCAGACGGATCACCTGATGGTAAGCAATGGCGTCGCCCATGGACACCTGGAACACCAGAGGTGTTAGAAGTTCGTTACCGCCTTTTTGGGGATTAGGAGTTTGAGGATCGTTGGGGATTCAGGGATTGGGGAGATTGTGGAAGGGGAGGGTAATTGGGCCTCCGGTAACCTCACTCACACGACGAAACACAACGAAAGCGTTGCTTCACGTCGGTTTTCTGCTCGGCCGTGGTATCACTCCGGTCGAGCCGGCCCATTCGTGCCGAAGCATGGCTCTCCCACGCTTAAAATTATTTTGTATTGACGTCTTTTTATAACGATCATCAGATTTAGTGCTCCGATGACCAAACATTCAGTGGGCGTCAGCGGCTACTGATTGAAAAATTGAGTTCATTAAAATTAATTACACATTCCAACGATTTCAGTAGATAGAGTAGCGGTTGTTAATGTATCAGTCGCCTGGTGACAGTAAAATCCACCATATTTGTCGCCCCCCTGCTCTGTCCGTGGGTTTTGTAATGTAGCTAACCCAATAATAGTATTAACTACTATCCTGCTATCCTGCTAAGGAGTGGAATTCTTGTAATATTTCCTATACAGGGTGGGTCAGAGCCCATTCGTCCCCTAAGATTCGCACCCTGTGCCCACTCGTCCCCTGGAACTTTTGAGGGGCCTATTCGTCCCCTGAAGAATATTTATTTTTATTCGTTCTTCTAATATAAGTACATGTATATATGTATACTGCAGCTTGGTAGTCCTGGTACAGTCGCGCAGAAAAGGGTAAAATAAAAAAATATAGTAATTTGGTAGATATCATGTTTATTTTAAATAAGTTTAAGTTTAATAAATAACCTCTAGGCTCTAGGCATTAAGTCAGTCTTCAAAATAAGTTAACAGTTTTTGGTGTCTGGTACATTTGTAAATATTTAGCAAAATATGTGACAACTATAATATGTTTATGCAGTAAAATAAAACTGTGTAACTATTTAAATAAAATCCCAGTAATAACTGAATTTTAGATTAATTTAAATCCAGAGTACAAACAAATAACCAAATATCAATACGAATATAAGAAAAATAACTATGAATTGTTAGTACTTTGTACAGCCAAAGAGATCTACAAAATAATGCAATATCACAATAACTTTGTATAAAAGAAATGTAGGTATAAAATAAAATCAGTGTTTATCAACTATTTAAAACCAACATTTTTACTAACAAAATACAACTCTTTTACAGAAATCAGCCTTGAGTGACCATCATATAAATATGATATACAAATATGATAAAATTATAATTGCGGATAATAAATTGCTACTTATACATATTTAGGAGTAAATAATGTAGTCAAAATATAACTGTAGTATTCCAATATAAAGTAAATTACCGTCAAATAATAATACTAATCATATTCCAGGATTCAAATGAGATAATTCGATTCAATTATGTTAAAAATATTATTATTATAATATTAACAATATTGTTTATCATTTAATATAAAAAAGACCAAAGACACATTGAAGTCTCGTATTCGTAGTCACTTTCAAGAACCAATATGTCACCGAGGCAGCCATAACATACAAATAAAACACCTTATCAATTTTGTACCCCGTTTTTTAAAAAGCCATTCGTATAGAGACAATATTGCATCGTAGGCCTATCGACAGGTTATATTATTATCAATCATCATAGCTCTTTTTTCAATGATCTGTTATGATTTATTAAACTAATTCCGTTAATAAACTGTTCACAAGTGTACTATGTTAACCGTTTCTTGTGTAAAATTTAGCTTATTTTATCTCAGGGGACCAATAGGCACCTGAATAGGTGCCGAATCTTTAACTTATTATGTATTATATTAGAGGGGACGAATGGGTACCTTAAAAATAATATTTTTTTATTAAATATTAATTGGTCCCCTACCAGGAGACCAATGGGCACCTATATAGGAGCCGAATCCACAACTTTTATGCTGGGGGACGAATTTTAGGGGACGAATGGGCTCTGACCCTACAGGGTATAACCTAAATATCGTCAAGGCCCGAGTGGATACTTGCAATACACGCAAAGTTGCTTATGCGTCGACGTGCTCTATCGTAGACCACATCATCGCTTACCACCAGGCGAGATAATTGTCAAACGTAGGCCCATCAAATATAAAAATATCCTACTTCCTATTAATTAATCTATACTAATATTATAAAGCTAAAAAGTTTGTTTTTTTGTTTGTTTCGTTGAACGCGCTAATCTCCGAAACTACTAGACCGATTTGAAAAATTATTTTTGTG